ATATATATATATATATATAGCATGAAAATAATCTGTGTTTGTGTGTGTGTTGGGCTATGATAACCTGAACTCTCCCTGATGTTTTTGGTGGAGAATTTCGGGTGTACGTAGGCAGGTGAGGAATGCAATATTCTGCACATTTTAGGGTATGAACGTCCTTGGTGTCTGCTCTCTAGTTGCCAGGAGCAATCCAAAAATCCCTTCAATATTTCCAGATATCCCATATCTCCTTGAAGATAAAATGGCCTGCTACAGAGAGCCATGAGATATATAAGAAATTTATGTATGAAAAAAAAAATGCCGTGAATGTGTTTGATATACCATGGATCTATCATCGTCACCTCTATAAACCAATTTTAAGGTCTTTCTAACATCAAAACTTTGCTAATTGCTATGCAATTCTACAAGAAGAACATACTTTCAAAGTTGCATAAAAGATACATAAATCTGCGATTCACTGCAAGCTGGCAAGGCCCCAAGCAATTGGTTTGATGTAAGCTGCGTTTACTTCCTGAAAGTATTAGCCAAAAATAAACTTCAGGTTGTCAGTGTTTCCTGAATAAAGTCTGGACAATGGAAGATGCCTTTGCACTAAAACAGTAGACGTTCAACCCTACTGCTCCTGTTTCACTAATCACAAAAGCTTCTTAGAGCTCTCTTTTGAGGAGAGCTGCATAGCAAAAGGACAACAGAACCTTAACGGAAGCATCTTAGGGCATGAGGAGTACTAACTACTCTAGAATAAATGTATATGTGAATGTATATGGATGTTGTGTGTTCTAAGAAACAGGCCAAAAGATTGAGTGTGTGTATGTGTGTGTGTGCGTGCGCACCTGTGTGTATAAGCACATTCTAAGAAATAGAGGCAGAAACAATAATGAGATCTTCAAATAGCAGTTTTAGGCAAAACTATTGAAAACTTTTATGATTTCCCTGGGAAAGGAATTAATTTTTGTGTGTACTGAACAAACACACAGAAGTCACCACCCAAAGCACAATTTTAATATATGCAAGGTAACAAGCAATAGGAAATAACTTATAAAAATGAGAAGTAAAACAGCTTTCACGTTTCTCTAGGAAAATAATTTTGTTTATTGCTAGAATTGACTCTGACTGCTTACCAAATCAATCAAAAGTACTAGAGGAAACTGAAAATTGGTGGGGGCAGGAGGAGAAAACTAATGCAATCTATAGATGACACAAGTCTTGGGGAATGTGAGATGAAAATTTCACCCCAAAAGATCAGGCCTGTAGATTAAATAGTGCAACTCTTCTTCCCTGGGTGGGGTGGGATGAAGAGCGCCAAGCTCATGCCTTATTCTAGCAAAGAATCTCCTGGGCTTGCCATCACAGCCTTCAGCGTGGAAACAGAGATGAGGTGGCCTGCTCCTGTGCCTCCTGCTGAATCTTTGTCAGTATGATGGGTAGGCAACAATTTATTTTGAATACCTTAATGAATTGATGAAGGAATAGTATTTGCATTCCATGAAGATCAGAAGTGTCCCTGGAGACCTCCAGCACCCTCTGCTGTGGACCAAAGCTACCACTCCTGTCCCTATGTGATTCCTTCACAAGCTGGCTTCATTTAAAGACAGTTCTCCCATCTAAGCATATCCATGGCTGTTATTCTTATCACATCTCAGCTACTGGTCCACTCGTGCCTCCAAAAGTTACAGCATATGCTCATCTACAGACTATTGGAGGGAATATCACTGAGGCACTCTGCCTTCCAAGGTTCTTCACCTGTGAAGTTCTAAGGATGTTTCTAGGTTGTAAGTTTTATAATCTATAGTTACCGAACCTAGATGTAATCCCTATGGAAGTCAAAGCTCATCTAATTAAACAGATAGTCCTTTCACCTGAAAATGTATTGAAACATTTGGCTCCAATGAATAACGACACAAAAATGATTAATCAAAGACTCTGCTTCAGTTGGATACTAGATATTTCTTGTATAATTTATGTGGCTTTTACAAGCTTTAAAAACCTGTAAAGGCATATGGAGGATTAAAAAAACAAATTAAAAATAATTCCCCTTCTTACAACAGTTTTAAATATAGATTATTCAAACATTAGAATGTTATAGTATTACTCTCAGTGACAATAATACTATTTTTATTTGTATGTTTCTTTTTTATAATTTTTTATTTGAGTCTATTACTATACATACATAGTACATAATGTTTACATTCCCTTTGAGAAGTTGGTGCATGCATGTAACATATCTTAATGCCTTTTTCATCTCCATTCTGCTTTCTTCCCTTCCTCCCCCTTCTTTATTTGTTTCCCTTTGCATCCTGCTTTCTTTGATACTCTTGGCCTAAAAATACACAGTATAAAAATGTGTAATTTATGTAGAGAGAATAATATTCCCTAAGAAGTAAAATAATGAAAAATTAATTATTTACCATGCAAATAAATTCAGATTCAGAAACAATGAAATTAGTCTAAAAGAGGAAAATGATACAAAGTTCCTAAGAGTGAGATACATTTTATATGATTTCATCTAGGGAATCCGAGATTGAATAGTGCTTTGTGTATTTAGGACTAAATTGGCAGAAGACCAAAACCTAAATACATGGAAAACGCTGCAATATCAAGGAAATGGACTAAAATATGAAAGGGTTTTCTCATTTTTTGATGGCCAAATTCCATCCTGTAAGCAGTGCATTAGACGCTAATGACATACGATTTCTCACTGACAGATTTAACAGCAGCAATAAGGCCTCTCTGTCCACTGCAGCAAATTGATCCTACATGACACTGACAAGGGCAGCCTGCACTTAATGACCTCCATCGCTGAAGGATGGCAATGAGAAATGGCTGGAAGTACAAATAAATCTTGGAAAGTTTCCCTGAAACAGGTGTGCTAAAAGTAATTCGTGTGAAGGATCACAAACATAAACCCAACTTCTTAGCATTCTCCATGGTCATCTGTGGGCCTCGATCCCATATAACGTACGTTGTTTTGCTTTAATTCAAAAAATGACATCAAGATGATTTTGTTCTTACTATGGAAACACAATTTCATTAATTCCTTCTAAACTCAGAGGTTCTCTTAAAAAACACTCATGATGTTCCCCTCTGTATGCAAATATCTAATGCATTCATCATTTGCCCCAAACAGTTCTTTATAAACTATAACACGTGTCCACACTCTTTTTCCCTTGATGAGCAAAAGAACTTCAGTATGACAATTGATTATTTTCTTTCCTGATTATCAGCCACACATAGAACATGTTTACCTGCAGAAAAGATTTCAGATGAATAAAACGAATGAAAAATTATCCATAAGTGGGAAACACACTTTGTTCAATCCTATGCAGCAAAGATAGCAAGATTTGGGCAGATGGCTGTGTTTTCACTTCTTTCCCAAACACACTTATTTCTTGATCTGCTTTCATCTTCAATTATTTCAATACAAATTTAAAAAAAGAAATGTTCTCTTTCCAAGTATACTATATTTGGAAGCTTTAATTTTCATCCAAGTTGACGGGTGAAGAACATAGGGAGTTGATAAGTAACACTGCAATGAATGTAGTACTTTACTTCCCTTAAATGCTTACTGTCCCTTTACTTCCCAAGTAACTTCAAACAGGAGTTTCTTTTTTACTCTTGACTAATTACCTTGCGAGGCAAATCTTAGTTCATGGGTGAGAAAACTGAGTTTGGAAATGCAAATGAGCTAGGGATTGATCAAGCTTGCACTCAATTCCCTGCCTGTTGCCTTCTCCATGTTCCAAAACTGTGAAAGGTAAATGCGGAAGTGGGGTCTAAACCGCAATTCATATACAGCGCAACACTATAAGCAATAACAATAGAAGCCATGATCCATTAGCAGTACACTGTTTGTTGTGACTAGATGAATGGTTAAAAAATAAGCATGCCTCTATTTTTTTAATTTCAATTTTTTTTGGACAAAGATGTGAATGAAAATAATTTTATCTTTTCATTAATTGTCTGAAGAATACAGAAGAAGTGGCTATATCTTAGCATTTTAATAACTGCAACCTTTTCTTCCTTTATCACTCATGGCTCATCATGTGATATACTTTTTTTACTTTTACCATCAAAGAAGATTTTTACAAACCATATTTGGAATTCCAAGCAACTTCTGGTAACCAGAAAGAGTCATCTACTTTTCCAAGTTTCTAATTAATCTTTATCTTGAGAAAATGACATTCTCAAATAAGAAACTAACCTCCCAAAATTTGGAACACATATATCAAAGGGAAAATTTAGAGGCCCTTTGTGGGAGGTCACCTACATGTAGAGTTGAAATTTGAAATCTTAAGTCTGAAAAACTAACAAATTGGAAATTTTTGGCCAAGGTAATTAAAAACAAACTAATATAAAATAGTGAACTTGAAACTAAAATTTTCATTTCTCAAATATATTTTCAAAATTAAACTTTAAAAAATTGTTATAAATCAAGTGATACAGTACTTGCTTGGCATAGGTGAGGCCCTGGGTTTGATCTTTAGCAACAGAAAAATTTATATAAATATACAACAAAGAAAGAAAACATGCAATTATTTGTTGCATAAGGGACATCATCATAGTGAGGAGTCCCAGATTGGCTACTTTTTATGTTATATAGTACACAAGTCCAGTAATTCCTATTTATAAAATAATTAGAAAAGCCAATACCTGTTTCTGATCTCTAACTGAAGCATCAAGTGATAGCTGTTTAGCATATGCATTGAAGAAATTATCCTTTTCTATTAAGAAAATAGTCTGCATCTTCTGGTACTCTTGAGCTAAACGTAGATTTTCCTCCAACAAGTTGTCTAGCAATTCCTAGAGAATAAATATATATATATGTTGAAATATTTAAATTTGATTGACTTTTTCATATATTATCTAAAAGTGTTCCAATATATAATGTAAAAAAAAAAGAAAAAAAAAACACCCAGAAAATATTTCCTTGAACACCAGTACCTTCCTTGGATTTTTTTTTTTTTTTTTTTTTTTTTTTTTTTTGCCTTTTACAGTGATGCATGTGATTTATGTTTTTCTGCTTTTCGCTACAGGTCTTTCCATTTCCTTTTCCCACACCTCCCTCTGTCTTGCCTTTGAAGGAACCAGTCTTGGGGGCCTCCGTGCAGCTCCCCAGTGGTCCTTTATGGGTGGTTTCCCACTCTCTTCCTTTCTGCTAGCCCTGATTTCAAACAGGGAGAAGACACATTTGTGCTTAGAATTTGGTTCCTAAGAGGCTCAGAATGCTGGCATTCATGGAACACATTTGAAGCAGGAGGAAAGAATGGAAGACAGAGCAGAGAATTTAACATTCGGAAACACCCAAAGCCATTATTTGGTATTCTTATATTTTTTTCTATATTAAAGCTCAAATCTCCTTCTGTGAGCAGCTGAGAACTTTGTAACAAACTCCTGTGACTAAATAAATATACATTAAATCTAATACAAACCCTGTAGAAAATGACTTTGCATCCTTACCTGTGGGCATAGGGGCTACTGGTAACTTTAAATTAGGTACATAAATTTGGTTTAATGATTTTTTTTTAATTTTTTGCACAGAAAACTTTCTATGGCCACTTCAAAGCTATGAAATTTATCCATAACCTTAAATATTTTCAAACCTGTTAATCTTGCTGATTTGTCTTTAATTTCAAACCTGTTAATTCTCAATAGACGATTCCCACTTTCCTCTTAGGGGAATACATTTTACGCTAAAAAAAACTTATTCATTATAGTGCTATTTACAGTAGTAAAAATTTCTTAAAATCCGTAAATGTAGATTAATTATGGTGATGAATTATGATTAAATTCCTAGATGCAAAATAACCACTATGAGGTAATTAAAAGTGTTTCTTGGTAAAAACTGCCATCACAATAAACCTTTAGTATGTTGTCTAAAAATATATGTGTTATGAGAATGTGCATAGAGAAAATGTAATTCAGCAGAAAATTTCCTGTACAGTAGGGAAAGTGTATTTACACCCTTGAAGATTCATTTAGTTCAGCAAACATATTTCTCATAAAAGCCTGCATCTGTATTGATCCCCAATGATTAATACTGTGTCACAGATATTCTTCAAAAAGCCAAAATAATGAACTGAGAGCCATTGAATATGCCATTTATATGTCCTAATTCTGCCACAATAATTTAACACTTTAGAAACTTATATCAAGTAAACTTGCCAAAAAATCACATAATTTTTTTCTTTTTTTACCGGGAATTGAACTTAGGACCTTGTGTTTGCCGGTCATATTAGAAAGACAAAAAAAAAAAAATCCATAAATATTTTCCTTCAGTGGAATTAGCCTTTTAAAGATGATCGTAATAACTTTTGCTACCTTAATACTAATAGTAAGAGCCAGTTGTCAAGTAACTGATTGGAAACATAGATACATGTTTTACTGGAGCCAGGAGTAGGAACCACTTCGAGCTATTTTTTTTTTAATTTAACATAAGCATACCTCATATCCTGTTTTTCAGTTACATTTCTTTCAAGTCCTAAATGGCTACTACAAATATTTAATTTGAGAAGAGTGCTAAAAAACTTGTAAGATTTTCATCAAACCTACTTAATGGAACATAATGGGAAAAGTATTTAATTTATGCTTTCTTCACTGTGCCATGTACAGTTCTATTTCTAAATGCATACATCTTATAATTTCTGGATGATACTAATTCTTATCACTTTATATGCTCTAATTAGAGTAGATATCAAGAAATTGAGTTGTGGAATTATGCCAATGAATCTTCAAAACATTGTTACTTTAGTCATAACATTTTATATGATTTCCCTAGTAAAGAACATATGGGAGATCTACCAATACACTACCTATTCCTGAAAGTCAGTGACCTTCAGATAGGCAATAAAATTTAAGTTTTAAAAAATTTAAATAATAGTATTCTACAGACACTGAAAGTGGTTTTTACGTTTTGCAGCAGTTCCACCTCACAACTCTGACTCTTTTTAATTTTAACCAATAGCATAATAATATGGAAATTAGACAAAGGGGAAGTGATAATTATTGGTGGAAATATGTCTAGAGGAAATAATACTACCACTACTGAAAGTTAAACAGCTCATAAAAGAAGGGTGTTTAATATGGGCACAAAAATGAAAGTTAGAGGTATAACTTAGAGGTAATTATAAACTAGTAAGACAAGCTGATTTCAAGCTTTTCAACTTAAATCTAACTGAGTCTTAGTAAAAATTTTCAAGTTAAACTGTGAACTTGAAATATGTGCTTTTTGAGCTAAGTATATTAATGAAGAAATTGATTCCAATTGCTTTAGGTTAAAATAATTACATCCTGAGTTCACTTACAATATTATTCTATCTATTCTTTATTTATTCATTTGCTCATTAAGTTGTTTATTAAACATTTTTAGTAAGAATTTTCTAAAAAACTGAGATTTGATGGTATGTCTGAGTTTGTAGTCCTGCAGGAAATATTTTTAGTAAAATCACAAAAATTCATTAAAATGCAGAGTCTGACATCTTCTGTACTTTTGTTTTTCAAGACTATTAAATTTATTTAAAATTTCTAAAGTGTATAAAACTGTCCTAAAGTTAAATTTATTGCTATTTATTTAATTCTCATTATTAATCATGATTGAAATGTTAAAACATTGGGAAGACATCTTTGTAAGGAGAAGAGACATGGTTAATGTCTGCTAACAGTTTACCATTTAGAATTTAGTAAGGATAATGTTTCAGTAGATGATGTTTCTTTCCTTTTATCTCAAATTGTTTGTCAATACTTGAGGTTTAGGAGATATGACCACTTCTTATCACAATATTTTATTAGTAGCTAAAAGTGATATTTATAAGAGGTGGAACAAAAGCTAGTTTGTAAATTTCCATGAGTGGCAAAACCATCCCTAGGATATACTGAACAGAGCAGAGCTTATGCAAGCTGTTGCACAGGTTTTTAGGAAAAGAATGCATTCATGGATTCACATATTACTGGTTAGGAAACACATTCTGCAAGTTAGAATGCTCATTTAATTTGCCAACATCTAGTTAAGGACATCATTTATATTGTTTGATACTGTATCACTTGAGAAGTGAAAATCTTAGCTATGTGTAGAGAATTCATACCACAAGGTCATACAAAAAAATATTCTACGGCTATATCACATTATCCAGGCTTAGTAAGCGTTCTTCACCTGTAGTAAACCATAGATTTTCACAAGATATGTGAACCATTTGAACCCATACATAGAATTTTGGGGGACTGGCTACTGAACCTATGGTGCCAAAACTGTTGAGGAAGCACTGTTAAAGTTAGCTTCTTTTTTTTCCTCAGTAAAAATTTTGAGAAAAAAGAAGGCAGGTTGAGACTATAAGATATCCAACTAGTAGTTCCCTAGTATTTTCTTCACCTGAACTTTCTTATTCTTTAAGCTATAGTGGCCACTTTGAATGTCTCCTGCACTTTTTCCATTTTCAGATTATGTTTCTTGCTCTTTCCTTTCCCCCCCATCCTACTGGTTAAGAAGGGAATAGAGAGTTCCAATCAGAGAACTAAGTTCTTTTCAGATAAAAGCCTAAAGCATATTTTATGTTTTATCTTGTGGTATATAGCCAGGAACTTACAAATAAGGCTGAATTTGAATGTTTGCTCATGAATTTCACTCATAAGAGATAAGAACTGAGACTGACAGAGCCACCTTAACCAGAAAGAACACTCTTTATCCTAACTAGAAGAATCATATAAAAAGATAATAGAAAAGTAATAATTAGAATTAGAAAAAGACTAGCAGCTGACATTAGGGATTGGTTACCATAACCAGAAATCATAAAGACAATATTTATTGAATTTATCCTCTTAGCAATTTCTGACATACTAAGTTACTATCCTCATTCTGTAAGCCAAACTAATGAGAAGTCAGACGAAGCAAACTGTATTTTCCTAACATAGTCATAGGAATATTTTCAGTCCCACATATTTTTCTAAAACCTCGCCAACTTCCTATCAAAAGGTGGAGTCTGTGTTCCCTTCCCTGAAAGTGTGGTACACTTGTGGCTTCTCCAGCCTAATATGTTAGAAATGATGCTGTGACTTAGCAGAGTTGTTGTCAGAAAACATACAGTTCTGCCTGGCCCTCTTTTGGGGTACGTTCACCCTTGAATCCACCACCATATTATAAAGAATCTAAACCAAATGAAGAGGCCAAAGGTAAGTGATCCAGTAAACAGCCCTATTCCAGCACAAGTCTCAGCCAACAGCCCAACTGGGGGTGAATGAATTATCTGAAGAGAAATCCAGACCCCAGCCTCCAAGTGGTCCATTTGATGACCCAGAAAATGTGACATAGAGATAATCTATCCCCACTGTGTCATGTCAAATTTCTGACAGTATCATGAATATCACAGATAGCTATTTTTCACAATGAAATTTTGATATATTTACTATATAACCCTAACAAGTGAAACACAGGCATCATGTGCAAGTTGCACAGCTATTAAGTGGAAGAGTAGGATTTTGCATCCAAGGAAGAATAGCACCAGATCCCACACTCCTAACTACATGATACATTCCTTTATAGACATAGCCAGTATTCTTAACACTACGAAGTGCTGCATTCATAAAAACCTAAAGACACCAATTAAATTAGATAACTGAATTCCCTTATTGAGACAACAAGAAACTCTCTTATTTTAATCTTGCTAACACCTCACATGTTGGCATAGAAAAATGAGCTGATAAGAGAGATTAGAACTTGGACCCCTGGAAGATCCTCTTTACTGTAAGTCAGTATGGGCAAGTTGAACATAACATAATCTGTCTCTTTTGTCTTTTGGTCTAGCTGATGTCACATCGCATGATTTCACAGGCCTGATGTATTCTCTGGCAAGATCAAGTTCACAGAAGTAAACTGAGGCCTGCAGAACTCTGGACAGAGGTTGAATGCAGCAGAGTAAAGATGCTAAAGAAGCCAGCGGAGTCTGTCTATCTGGAACATTACTTCGGGAACAATCTAAATCCACTTGAACTATTTTTAAAAATTTCTAATGTCAAAGGAGATATAACAAAAAAGTCTTGATTTAAACATCCTAGAGAAATTTTGTGACTAAAATATTTGCACTGTGCACATACGGATAGAAACTCCAAGCAGCCGTCAAATACTTCACTACTAATAAAATCATCATGGCGTCTATGACCAAACAGAGTAATGTGTCATCTAAGCCCTGAGTTACTCTTATTATTGGCATTCAGATCCAGTTCGCCAAGCTGAAGAGCCAGGTCCTTCTTTCAATGACATATTGTAAAAGAGTTGTCATCTTCTGACTCAGTTCTAATCCTAACTCTTCTGTCTAATGCAATTATCTGCTGCTATTTCTGCTGATCTTTTCTGATGATCTGTCCATCATGTTCTGATTTTTGGTTAATAATAGTATCCTGCAGATGGTTCCTTGCTTTCTTGCATTTCACTGGGGTTCTTTGTGCCATTACTGCATTTCTGTAGCATAGATTGCACCACACACACTTTAGTCCCGTGGCTGGAAAGAATTGACTTCCTGCCAGAGCCACTAGAAAACAAAAATTGTATTACTGCTATTTATTGATCGATTGTACTCCAGAGCATCCTCCCATCTAGCTTGTCATTCATTATTTATTCAATGAAGCATTTATTTAGCAAACTCTTAGCTTCCTCTATGGGTCTAATTCAGTGGCCAGCCCAGGGATTAAAAAGGTAAAGCTACCATGTTCTTTCCGGGGATTACAGGCTAGAGTGGGAAGAGGCTTAAGTGTCAACAAGTTATTCAAGGTACTGTAGGGGAACAGGGGCAGGAAAGTCTTCATAGAAGGAGTGATACATGACTCAAATCTTAGGAATAGTCATCTTATTTGGCAGGGATTAAGGCTTCTCTGCCACATAGGCAGTGTACGTTGAGCAAATCTGGAGGATTTAGTCAAGAAAAATGTTTTCTTGGCCCCTTTAGGGTTATAAAATTATTTGACCACTTGTTGACTGTTGCCTGACTTGTGAATTCGGCTTTTATCAATCATATTGTATGCTCTGCTACTGCAATAGTTTGCAATACCGCAAACAATAAAAGGTGCTCAAGCACTAAGTATCCTACAGATGCATCGTGCTGTAACTAACACTCACTTCCCAGCACCAAGTTTTCAGCAGTGTGTGATCCCGTACACTAATACTGCATTACACTATTGATCCCATATCTTTGAATCCCCTTGGTTGTTGTGTCCAACTTTGACACATCTCTGCCAGCCTTGCCATTACATCAGTAGTCTTGCACTCAATGACGTTTTGATGTCATTAAAGCAAATCTTGGTACTAAGACCGATTCAGAGAACATGCAGGAGGTAGAAACAAGGGGCTCTAAGTCTTCTTGTGAATGCTCTTTCAAAAGCCTCCCCTTCGATTCGTAGGCTGGCAAGAGGAACACAAAATGCCCAAAATACATGCCAATTCACCAATAATGCAACAGACGTGAAAACAATACACACTGTATCAACTGTGTTACCTACTGGGTACATACAGGCATTAATATTTCTGTTGCCCTAAAATCTATATGCCAATTACTATAGAAAGCTGAGAGTTCTCCCCAGTGTTCCAGAGAAGCAAGTCTGTAAGAATGATATGTGTCAATATCCTAAAGCCTCGGAGGAACAAATAACTGTTTTAACTCTCCCAAGACCACTTCCTTGTCTGTGCTGCCATGGAAACCAGTCTCTTGTCCAACTTGAGTTCTCCAATAATTAGTCTTAAAAGAACATTCTTGATTTGTAAGTGAACAAATCAGTCCTCTGCATCAAGGTTGTTACATGCTTCAGACTCTGCATATTATTGTATTTGAAAAAACGCTCTCTCCACTCACTCATTTATTCAAAAATTGTTATTGGGCAAATGACACACACATAGCATTTTAGGGGACACTGTAGAAGCCAAATAGCACCTTTATGACACTACTTGATGAAAGCCCGTTCCGTGCCACATGACCAGGCAGACCTGTCTTTACCAGGGTGCAAAGGAGTACTTCGTTTGCCCTGCTCCAGCACTCACACATGTATACAAATATGCACAGGGCTTCTTGCTCAACCATGTGACTGGGTTACAGATTTAGCTACTGCTTTGATTTATTCATAAAATTTACTAGTAGACATTATAGAATTGCCTCTTAAATCTCAGAAGAGATTCTTTGGGAATTTATGAACACTTTGTATTAACCCTGATTCTTCCTTATTATTTTTTGTCTTTTTTGCATTTTGCACAGTAATCTCAGAAGAGATTCTTTGGGAATTTATGAACACTTTGTATTAACCCTGATTCTTCCTTATTTTTTGTCTTTTTTGCATTTTGCACAATTGATCACAGGTTATTGATATCACATGAACACAGTTTCCTGACAGAAGGAGCTTGCAGTCAGATAAAAGAATTGGGGCGTCCACAAAGCTAATTACAGCAAAATATATACTATACATGAAGGAAGACAGAGGATACAACCAGATACTGAGGGTGCTTCTTTCCCACAGAATTCCAATGACAGTGATCAGCAGAATTTCAGGAAGCCAAGTTTTGAACGGACGTCTGAAGATATTTCATGAACAGGGATTTGTATCCCACAGAGAAAATTTGGGTCAGAAATGCAGGTGCTTGGGAAATATTTCAGAAACCTCTGATTAGTGTGTGGGCTAAAAAAATAGAACGTTTACCTCCAGGTTGACTGTAACATTCTTCATAAAATTACTGAATGATAGATATTAGTTCCTTTCCTAAAGTCTCCACATAATAGCTACTAAATTACTATAATCTACTATCAGGTCCAGTTTTACTTTATAATTATGTCACTTCAAAGATTTTAGTATAGCTGATTTCAGAAACGAATTATGTAATGACAGAGTATAAACTACTGTTACCTAAGCTATATTCTCAATGAATTTTTCCAAGTTAAGGTATATTATTTAAATGGATACAGTACAGATAGCATATTATGCCTTAGAATTATCCCTAATGTTCCCTTAGTATCTGATAATCACAGTAATGATTTTTCTAAATTTATTTTTACTTATTAAATAAGCTTTAACATTTTAATTCTGATTATATGCTTGGGTTTAATAATGTTTTCTTCCAAACACATTTAAAATTGTTAAACAGAAACATACATCTATATTATCTTCTTGTTAAATATTTCTATGCATTACCCTGTTTTAATTGTATTTTAATTTGTCAGTACTTTTAAATGTATTTTTAAATGTACTACTCTTCACGAGATCATGTAACAAGCTAAACAATGACTTCTTCCTCTTGCACAACTCCTGATTTGAGTAGCTTTAGGATTTAGAAAGGTTTCCTATTTACTCACATTTTAATGATATACATTTCTACTTCACTGGTGGAAAAGGCTGATCAGTCACAGAAAGGTCAGTTAACACTAAATAGACCCTTTCTTTATGTAATTACAAAGAATAATATCCTTGTGCTGATGGCACAGCATATCGAGTGGGTGATGCAGAGAATTAATGCGCTGCCTTGTTGGCCCATGGGATCCAGACTCCAATACAATAACCACAACTTATTCTAATTATACAGCTTTAAAAGGTCATCAGCAAAAAGAGTTAAGGGATTATCAAGTGACTTTATCATAAAGTAATAATGTATTACATAAATGCAGAAACTGTAGGAAAAGTACCCTGAAAGTTCATTGCAAATGAGAGAAAAAGTGACCTAAGAGTTTCTAGGACATATATTAATGGCGTAAGATGAGAATACTTTTGAAAAATTACAATATGTGATATTTTGAAACATATCATAGATGTGCTCAGTTAACCTGATCATACCATTTGCTTATAGGAAATGCTTAATTTTAATAGAAAGCTATATTCCATTTTATTCATATTACACTGAATTTAAATATTTTAAAAAATCATGTTATGAACTAGTGTATACTGATTTTAGTGTATACAAAATCTCAACCACAAAATAATACATGCTGGTTTTATTATATCCAAGGTTACAAACAGGTACATGAAGAAGAAAATTGAAACCACTCTTCACAATCATTGTTATTTTTATCCCTACAGTTAGCATTAACAAATATTTGGTGCAAGTTCTTCAGAAATTGGAATGTTTAAAAAGTCCTGCGTTAACAATGAGAAATGGAGGCCAAAGAAGTCAGTTTTTTGTCCAGATTCCAGTCCACGAAAAGCACAAGTCAAGGTTAGGGACCCGTCTGATTCAGGCTAACACCCTTTCTGGGTCTGTATTCATTAATTCCTATTTTCAGACATTTTACAGTAATGGATGTGAATGTTCTCACTTCTGAATACCCTGATACAGTCTTATCAGTCTTTCAAAATTAACCGGATACTCAGTGGGAAAAGACTCTTTTGAAGTTAACTATGTCTCAGTAGCATATCTTTGGCAGTACAGCTCAGAAAACATGAGACCTACTTTCACATAGCTGCCAAATATGAGAAGTACCTGTAAATAGTTTCCAGAGTAATAAAACATCTTTATGGGGGTGGAATTATTATGAATTCCTTTTCTTTTTCACTACACACCATTAGATACCCATTATTGGGAAAGAGCAGATCATATGCCCCTCTATGAACGTAAATACTGATGCTCACCATGGGGCACTGTCCAAACCTTGCAACGTATCTCAAGAATAAATAGAATTTAAAATGTCCAAGGATATTTTCTGGATATTCCTCTTGGCATGTGTCTACTCTCCAAATTAACTTAATCACAGTGTACAAAAAAGTTACATGTTTATTAGACCAGAGACCAGCAAACTATGGGTTTGCAGCCAATCTTAAATCACTTTTTGCCTTTACAAATAAATTTTATTTTCCATCACACACATTCATTTACATATAATGCATTGCTTCTCTCGTTGTAAAGTTGCAGAGATACATGACTGTAATAGAGACTGAGTAGACTGCAAAGCATAAAACATATACTATAGATCCAGACCCCTAATGAATATATTGGTATGAT